CCCAGCCTGAAATTCTTTCAGCTAGAAGCATTTGCCGAAAAGACCGATGCCGGTAGCGACAAGAACTGCGGGGAACTTTGCAAAAAATGCATCTTCGCACGGGCAGCCCGTGCGTTGGCCAATTTTTTATTGTAGTGGAAACGCGATTTTTTTTGGTTATCGGTTCGTTTTCCTTAAAATTTTTTTGTTTCAATTCGAATTTTGGACGGAATCGAAATAACAACCCCCTCCCCTTCTTCGTACTCGCTCCCGCTTCGAATTTAAACAAATGCTACTTTTTTTATTGGTGCGCTTAATGTCTTTGATTATTTACTACTTTTCCTCGCTTTTATATTTTGGCCCAGTGAGGCTCCATTTTGATAAATTTAAAAAAAAAAACGCTTCCTCCTGTATAAAAATGAAAAAAAAAATGCATACAGGTTTATTGGGACCCTGTTGACTGTACTGTTCTTGCTGCTGAACAAATCGATGCGGAAGGACATTCGTGGCGCTCCGGAGCACTTGCCGAAAAGCGTAAAATGAAACATTGGCTGGTGGAGACACCGAAATATGCTAAGGTTTGTATTCATTTTTTTAAAAATCTGTTTTTGCGTCAGAAATTTTGCTTTCACAAGTAATTGATTTTTGAAAAAAATTGTAGCGCATGTATGATGGACTGAGGAAACTGTCACGTTGGAAGGAAGTGGCCGCAATTCAGGCGAACTGGATTGGAGAGTGTAACGTCTGGCGATTCTTACTGCCGTTAAAGGTAACTTGCGAAGATTCTGCTTATAGGAATTGCATACTTACCCATTATATGGTAATATTTGTTTTTTTTTTGACCTATGGACTGAGATTATTCTGTCTTTCGATTTTTAGTCAACAAGTAGACGAATGTATAGAAAAGCGAGTGAATGCAAGAATTTATCAAACATAAAGAGGACAGTCAAAGAATGTGTGTCTTAGGATCAAAAGGCTTTCGTACATGCGTCCGGTATTTGGAAGTTTCCCAGTAACTTTTATCCGTGCAATACCCAGCACACTTTTTATCCGTGCGATTTGACTTTTTTGGTAAGGAGGGGAAGTGAATTCCGCATATGATGTATAAAACAAGCGACTTTTTTGAAGGACTGTCTGAAATGATTATAATTATTCCTCTATTCCGCAGAATTTAAGGGGGAAAATGGCACGCTGTTGGACGAAAAGCTGGACCTTCGAATACGAGAGCCGCGTTGTTTGGCCGATGCTAATGTGGTGTTTGTACGTCGTGGTCATCCCCTCATTTCATCTCTTAATACTAAAGAAGATATCGGTACGTTAACTGCTGCTTATTTCAGTAATAATGGACAATCTGTATGTTTCTGTAAAAGTTTTTTGTGTTTCATATATGACGTTAGTCAGTCTTCAGATCAGAAGTTTTTTACGAACATTTTTTTGAGGAATCTTCAAATCTTGTGCAAAATCCGATGGGCAACTCATATTGCTCACCCCACGTTCCTAATAGTCCAAAATTTCTTTTCCGTCATTTTTTCAGGTGTTTTGAAAGTGACTGCAATGAATATCGCAACAGGCAAAGAAATGCACATAATATATTTGAATAATGAGGATGCTATCAAAGACGAAGCTGACTTCATCCTGGATGCAAGACTTCCATCCAGCACGTTGCAGTCCGATAAAGCGATCATGGAAAGCTTCGGATTTTCGCAAGCAAACAGCTCTTCTTCACTCAGTAACAACGATGTTGTCCAAATTGCTGAGGCATGAACTTTTTTTTCCTTGGAATTATACATTATGAGCCAAAAAAAATAGCATTTTTGTGAAATCGATTTAGCTGAAACAAATAGATTGTCAATGCATGGGTAAATAAGTTAATATTGTAGTTTGGAAATTACGGTGGTTATGAGACAAGTGATCGGTTACTGGATTGGGTTGTCTCGAGGCAGCGAAAGTGGGGAACTCCAATACCAGTGCTTTTGGGAGCCGATGACCAAAGCGCTGTTGTGGTGGGCGATCACCAGCTGCCTGTCATTTCTTCGCAGTGTAAATATGATGAGAAAATTCCATGTGAAAGGTAATTTTTGCGAGGTCATTAATTCTGTGAAGTGTGAAATACGTCACGGATAAGCTTTTGGGTTTTTTTTTTCCATCCAAAAACAGAATGTTGATTTATATAGGAAAACCGCTGTGATTAAACCGGGATATTATTTAAGGCATTGGTAAGCATAATGCAGCTGTAAAAAGCGTTACTCTGTTGTGAATGGTCAAGGATTTCTGGGTGTTTTCATTAAATTATCAATATTAGACTATGTGTTTTTCTCCACAGTGGACTAGCAACGCTAAACCAATTGCATATATTAATGCAAAGGAGGTTTTAAGCTCTCTATTTTCCTCCAATTTCCTGTTTACGGATATTCACTGTTTATGACTCTAAATTTTCCTTAACACTTCAATACTGCCAGGCATTTTGATGACAAATTGGTACTCTGACACATGAGGACCACCATCAGTTTGTTTTTTGGCAGCGCTTGGTAAAGAGAGCCATCGATAGCATTCTCAGAATTCCGATGGTTGCTGTTGGCATATGCTACTACTCGAGCTACTTCGGAATGCCTTCGCCTCTCACAGCGAATGAATTATTGTGGAATTTTGCTGTTTTATTATTATTGTTATCGAATATGTTTATCCTTCTAGGTTGCCTGGTGGATTTGGATACTGGGAAAAAGATACGTTGGATACATTTTTTGATTCCAGTTGGTATTATTTAAGGTTTGCTATAATACTTATTTTTTTTTTGCTACAAGTAGATGCCTTCTACAGCTTTTCAATGCCATATTTAACTCCGTAAAAAAAAATTTCTCAAAATTTTACACAGTGTTTCTCTTGACTAGAATAAGATCAAGTTTAAATGCCCTTAAGTAATATTTTTAGGTATCTTGATCCTCACAACAG